AATTTTAACCAAGGAAGTGAAAGACCTGTAAGACATTAATGAAAGGAATTGAAGATGACACACAAAAAATGGAAAGATATACCATGCTCATGGATTGTAAGAATTAATATTGTTAAAATGTCCGTAATATCCAAAGGAATCCACAGATTCAGTGCAATCCCTATCAAAATACCAAAGGCATTTTTCAAAGAACTAGAACAAAGAATCCTAAAATTTGTATGAAACCACAAAAGACCCCCAATAGCCAAAGCAATCTTGAAAAAGGACAGAACTGGGAAGATCATGACCCCTGGTTTCAAACTATACTACAACGCTACAGTAATCATAATAGTGTGGTACTGACACAAAAACAGACACACAGATGATGAATAGAATAAAACAGAGAGTCCAGAAAAAACCTCAGGCATATATGGTCAATTAATCTATGACAAAGGAGGCAAGAATATACAATGGGAAGAAATTTAAAATGGATTAAAGACTTGAATGTAAGACCTGAAACCACAAAATTCCTAGAAGAGAACCTAAGCAGTGAGCTCTTTGACATCAGTCTTAGCAATATTTTTTTTTGGCTCACTCCCTTGAGGCAAGGGCAACAAAGGCTAAAATAAACAAACAGGACTACATCAAACAAAAAAGTCTGCATGCAAACCATCAACAAAACAAAAAGGCAATTACTAAATGGGAGAAGATAATTGCAAATCATATCTCCAATAAGGGGTTAATATCTAAAATATATAAAAAACTCACACCTTAACAACCAGATAACCCGAATAAAAAATGTGCAGAGGGCTTGATAGACATTTTTTTTAAAAGATTTTATTTATTTATTTGACAGAGAGAGACAGCTAGAAAGGGAACACAAGCAGGAGGAGTGGGAGAGGGAGAAGCAGGCTTCGCGCGGAGCAGGCAGCCTGATGCAAAGCTCAATCCCAGGACCCTGGGATCACGACCTGAGCTGAAGGCAGACGCTTAATGACTGAGCCACCCAGGCACCCTGAATAAACATTTCTCTAAAGAAGACATACTGACGGCCAATAGGCACATGAAAAGATGCTCAACATTACCCATCATCAGGGAAATGCAAAATCAAAACCACAATGAGATATCACCTTATACCTGTCACTATGGCTCTTATCAAAAAGACAAAAAAAAAAAAAAGAAAAATCACAAGTGTTCTAGTTCAATGGAACAGAATAGAAGTCCCAGAAATAAACCCACAATTATATGGTCAATTAGTCTTCGACAAAGCAGGAAAGAATATTCAGTGGGAAAAAAATCTCTTCGACAAATGGTACTGGGAAAACTCGGCAGCTACATGCAGAAGAATGAAACTAGACCACTTTTTTACACCAAACACAAAAATAAATTCAAAATGGATGAAAGACCTAAATGTGAGACCTGAAACCATAAAAATCCTAGCAGAGAGCACAGGCAATAATGTCTCTGACATCGGCCGTAGCAACAGTTTTCTAGATATGTCTCCTGTGGCAAGAAAAATGAAACCAAAAATAAACTATTGGGACTACATCAAAATAAAAAGCTTCTATACAGGGAAGGAAACAATCAACAAAACTAAAAGGCAACCTATAGAATGGGAGAAGATATTTGCAAGTGACATATCCGATAAAGGGTTAGTATCCAAAATATATAAAGAACTTAAACAATTCAACACTCCCCAAACAAATAATCCAATTAAAAAAATGGGCAGAAGAAATGAACGGACATTTCTCCAAAGAAGACATCCAGATGGAAAACAGACACATGGAAAGATGCTCAACATCACTCATCATCAGGGAAATACAAATCAAAACCATGATGAGATACCACCTTACACCTGTCAGAGTGGCTAAAATAAAACACACACACACACACACACGAAACAAGTGTTGGTGAGGATGTGGAGAAAAAGGAACGATTGTGCATTGTTGGTGGGAATGCAAACTGTGGAAAACCGTATGGAGGTTCCTCAAAAAGTTAAAAATAGAACTACCATATGATCCAGTAATCACACTACTGGGTATTTACCCCCAAAATACAGAAACACTAATTCCAAGGGATACATGTACCCAGATGTTTACGGCAGCATTATTTACAATGGCCAAATTATGGAAGCAACCCAAGTGTCCATTGATAGATGAACAGATACAGAAGATGTGGTATATATATACAATGGAAGATGACTCAGCCATTAAAAAATGAAATCTTGCCATTGTGAAAACATGGATGGATCTAGAGAATATTATGCTAAGTGAAATAAGTCAGATAAAGAAAGAAAAATGCCGTATGACTTCATTTACGTGTAGAATAAAAAACACAAATGAACAAACAGAACAAAATGAAACAGAAACAGACTTATAGATACAGGAACAAATTGCTGGTTACCAGAGCGGGGAGGTGTGGGGGGGGGCAGGTGAACTAGGTGAAGGGGATTAAGGGGTACAAACTTCCACTTCCAAAATAAATAAGCCGCGGGGATGAAAAGTACAGCATAGAGGATAGAGTCAATAATATTGCAATAACTTTGTATGGTGACAGACGGTGACTAGACTTAGCCCAGGGATCACTTCACAATGTATAAAATATTGAATCGCTAGGATATACACTCGAAACTAGTAGAATATTGTACGTCAATTATATTTCAATAAAGGGTGGATGCCTCAAATGCTGGAGAAAAGATGACCATCTAGGAAGGCCAGTGTTCATTTCATGGCTCCGCATGGTCCTGGATGCAGCTGTGAGCACTCACCACCCACAGGAGCCCCGCATGGAGTCCTCCCAAGACCTCTGAGATGACAGTAGAGCCCAAGAGTGCCACCTTGCAGGGAAGGGGCTCTTTCCAGCCTCACAGAAGAGAGTCGTGGTGCTGGCCTGCCCCACTTCCCCAGACTCCCAGAAGTTGGTCTTACCAACAGGGAGGTTGCAGGGGCTGGGAGAAGGGGCTGCCCCACAGAGCCCCTTCTCTCTGCAACCAGGCCTGAGCATGGGAGGGAGAGGTGGGTCTGGCTTCCTGCGGCCTCTGGAATAAGGAGGAAGTCAGTGCCCCAAAGGCCCTCCCAGCTGAGTCCTTCCTGCCCTGGCACTTAGGAAACAGTGCTTCAGGTTTCTGGACATGCCCACACCTTGGGCAATGCCTTTGTGTCTCACTCTGATGCAAACCCAGGAGGCTCACTAGTTGGCAGTGGGGCAGGGAGGAAGGAAGTGGAGGGGAGCTCAGGTGTTCTAGCCCACTGAAGGAGGGGACGGCTGGCCGTGGCTTCCCTCCCGATAGATAATCCCGTGCTCTCTTTATCCACCTTCTAGGCCCTGGAACCGAGGGAGTCTGGTCTCAAGGGTGGTCTGGGAGAGGCCAGGTGCTCTAGGGTCTCACCCTTCGGTGACCCCCCACCTCACCTCTGTCAGAGGCTGGCCACGGATGGAAGAGGGCCCAGGATCCACCTGATTGCAATCGGCTTTCTTCCTCCTATGGGTAGAAGAGCTAACACTTTGCCAGAAGGAAAGGCCCTGGGCTGTTTCCCAACATGGGGTCACAAGGTCAGGATCATGATGAAGGACCCAGTTATGTCCTGGCAGTCTCTGGCCCGTCTCAGGGGGACTGGCCATGTAATAAAAGCACGACGCCCACCTTTCCTCTGTATAGCCTTCCCGTCCCAGGATGAGGACTGAGAGCTCCCAGAGAGCCTCTGACTAGGGCGAAGTCACCCACGGGGCACCCAGAATTCCTGGCTACCATTCAGTTCCACTACCCTGATTCCCACCCCAGGTGGACTCTGGCTGTCCTCTGTCCTTCAGCCTGGGGCCGTGTGAGCTCAAGACAGCTAGTGGGCCATCAAAGCCCTTAGAAGCTTCAGCAAGGCTGGGGTAAACAGTACAATGGGTGTGCCCCTCCTTCCCCTGACCCCTTTCCCTAGCCACTGCCACCCCCATTCCTTCATTTAGGAAGCCCCTTGCTCAGTTATCCGTTTGTCCATTCAGGTAAGAGTGCTTTAAACACCTTCTCTGTGCCCAATTTTGTGGCAGGGACTCAGAATCCTCAGGCAGAGGCTCCGGTCCCCCAAAGTTCACAGTCTAGCTCAGGCGGGCAGGTACGCCCAGGTGCAAATCAGCTGGTTGGCAACTTGGGTGTGACAGCGGAAGGGAGTGTGAACAGTGAGGCCTGGAGGGGTGCCCAGTGGGGAAGCTCAGGACCCTTGGGGAGGGGAAGGACTTGAGCTGAGCCCTGAGGGAGAGGGGAGGCGGGAGACCCCACCAGTGGTGCCAGTGCTGGCTGGGGGTGCAGGAGTGGAGGACTGGGGAGGGGGGTGCGTGACTGTCCTATGGATATCCAGGGCACAGGGAGCTAGAGAGGGTGCAAAGTGGGAAGTGATCCTGGGGCCTAGCTGGAGAGGAACCCTGATGACTTCCTACGGGACATCTACCAGATGCGTACACACATGCATCTGTGGGGGTGGGCCAAGCCTGTTGTGTATCCCTGGCCCTGTGCCGTGTGTGTGTGTGTGTGTGTGTGTGTGTGTGTGTGCGCGCGCGCGCGTGCACAAAGGTTTACAGGCTCTGGGATCTACGGTCAAGTCTGCTCCAACCTGCCTGCCCTTTACAAAAGTTAGATTTCAGTCATTCACTCATTCACTCCACCGCTGGGAGTGCCTACCGCCTACCAGGCCCTGGGCTGGGCTGGAGAATGTTGGGGACAAGTGCTTGCCCCCAGAGGACTCAAAGGCTGGTGGGTGAGGTCAGACTCAAGCTATGGTGCTCGTGCAGCCTGCTGAGGTCGAGGCAATGGCCTTCTCAGGCTGTGCGGCCGAACCGATCCTCTCCGGAGGGGCCTGGGGGAGAGCAGGAATCGAGCGGAGCCGATGCGGACACTTGGGCTGTCGCCCCTACCTAGAGGGCCGGGTGCCCTGTGAGTCAGCGGGAAGCCCCTCCCGCGGGCCCTTGGCGAGGCAGTTCCCCCCACGGCCCCGGGGGGCGCTGCGGGGGAGGGGGGTTGGGCCCTGGAGCCCACGGCGCGCTCGCTCTCTGCACTCACTCCACCGGCGGTTTTCCGGCCAGCTGTGTGCTGCCGCTCCCGCTCCTGGAGCACCAGGCGCTCCCCCTGCGTGCCCGCGGTCCCGCTCCGGGCCCCGGGGCTCCAGACGCCGCCGCCTGACGGTGACATGGGCGTTCCCCTGGTCCCGGAGGCCGGTGGCCGGCACTGGGGGCCTGTGCTCCTCGCTCTCTTCCTGGCTGCCTCCAGAGGTAAGGTGGGCAGGAGTCGGTGGGGAGGCGCGCCGGGACAGCACGGCTGGGGAGGGGGCCGCGGAGGGGGGGCTCCCTCCGCCTGCCCTGTTTCCTACTTGCTGGGACCTCGCTGCAGGGGCCAGCGGGTCCCTGCCAAGTGCCCTGGCTGGGCAGCAGCACGTCTGCATGCTCTGACAGCCGCCCAAGCCGCTGCCGGCCTGACCCTTCCCTGCCCAGAGAGCCCCGCGCGGGAGCAGCTGCTGCAGAGAGGAGATGGACATGGTGGGGACAGCCCAGCATTTTCTGGTGGACGCCGCGGGCTTTTGATACCTGGGGCATCTCCCTGCGCCGCCCGCCTCAGGGCTCCAGGGTCTCACTGGGCGCAGGGGGTGTGGTACTCTCTGTGTCCTGCTCCCTGGTGACACTCCTGGTTGAACCTTGGGGGGCACGGGTGCACTCGCAGATGTGGGCGCCCACCTGGTCCTTATCCTGAGGATCTGGCGGCTGAGAGTTGAGTGGTCAGCTGATTCCCGGCATCCTAGCAAGGCTGGAGCTCAGGGACTGGTGTGGGGTCCTGGGGAGAATGTGGGCCACTTTCCTGGCTCAACCATGAACCCCGTCTTGGTCCCGGAATAATTTATGGCATCTTTCTGGTCTCGGTTTCCTCAGCTCATGCTCAGAAGCCCTACACCAGGGAGGGCCACTTTCTTCTTCCAAAGTCCAGACTGTCACAACTCCAAGTGGAATCCTGGCTAGGACACAGGGGCTCCCAGGGCAGGGCAGGGAGCAGGGGTAGGGCAGAGGTCGGGGTACCCATAGCCTGGCCCCCGGTTCTTGGTGCCTGGCACTGGATCAGCTGGATTTCAAGGGAAGAGGGGGCCAGCAGGCAGCCTGTGAACTATACTTTGTGGGGAGGGCCCAGGGAAAGCTTGAGTCATGCAGGGAGTCAGGGAGGCAAGAGAAGGTGGGGCGCTTGGCACAAGGACCCAGTGGGCGGGTCAGGAGAAGAAAGGAGGGGGAGCACAGGGTAGGAGCAAGAGAAGGGAGTTGAGAGAAAATGGAATATCCCAGAAACAAAGTGGGTGCTTGCAGGCAGCATGTTATCTCAGTGCTCGGGGAGTCTGGCCTCTGATAAGGAGGAGAAAGCCCACACCCCACACACAGAGCTGCCTAGTCCTGGCCTGGATTCTCGCAGGATGGGGGAGGCGGTCTCGGCACCAAGGCCATGCTTCATGGCAGGACATGGTTTCCAGAAAGGGCAGGGGACGGTGGCAGGCAGGAAGGCCAGCACCGCCCCCACCACAGAGCACCTGCCCTGCCCCTTTCTCCTCAAGTGACCCCAAGAGGCCTTTCTGCTTTCTTACCCCTTCCCCTGCCCTCCCCTGGCCGGGCTGCTCTCTGTTCAGCCCCAATTTGGGAAACTGAGCTCTAGAGAACTGAGGTGTAGGGAGCCGCCTTGCAGAGTAGCTGGTAACAGAGAGGCTCAGAGCCCTCGCTCCATATCGTCTACATAGCCAGAGGCCTTCACCCCTAGAGGTCTCGGCTACTCACAAAGTGTGGCACTCCACAGGACCAGCTCTTCCCGGGCCCAGCTCAGGGAGATGATTAGGGCTCTAAGCAGCTTTCTACTGAAGGGGGTCAGAAGCATTCTCTTGGCTTTGAACTACTCTGGGACTCAGTATTCTTAACTGTAATATGGGCATGCTAATGAACATTCCCACTGCCCAGGACAATGTGTAACAAGGGGCTAACAGACGGGAAGCCTGGTTGCAGGCACTGTCAGGAGGGTCTGTGAGTTGGAAAGACTCGCCGCCGGCCTCCTGAGGTGGGTTGCCTTGGGCAGGATTGCTCAAGGTCAAAGGCTTCATGTCTGGGAAGGTGAGATGGAGGTGGCTGGTGCAGGTCTGTTTTCTAAGCTCCTGAGGCTGGCTCAGCACCAAGGAGAATGGTGGTGGTGAGTTGGTGCTCAGGAGCCCAGTCAACTGAAGACGCGCCTTTCCTGGGCCTGACTCAGGGTGAGATGGATGGAGGGATGCACCTAACAGAGCCAGGCCCCAGCAGACCCCAAGGGTGGCAGAGACTCTTCTTCCCCTATATGCACTCCTAGGGCCTGAGAAAGTTCTTGTCCTCACCATGGCCTTATAGGCTGACCCAGGAGGCCCAGACTCTGGGACTAGCACATGGGAGTGCACTGAGGCTAGGGAGGGGAGACCCCATCATCCCCTTCATGGTAAACAGGACTGCAGGGCCTTGTTGAGTAACCCAATGGTGCAAGCCTCTGATGCAGCGAAGGTCAGCTCTTAGGAAATCCACTGTCTTCTGTCCAGAGCCCCTGGGGTGGCCCTGGAGGCCAGCCCACAGGCGTGAGGGGGCATCTACCCAATGCTAGGGATGCCCAGCAATACCAGGGAGTCCCTCGCCCAGCTGGGCTGGTTGTTCCTGTGTCCCTGCCGGGGCCTGACCTCCCTAGGAGTGGTGGCTCAGGTGGGAGGGACAGTGGTGGGAAGCTGAAAGAGGCCACCTCCCTATATGCATACATAGACGGGTCTTAGGCTTCAGCAGATCAAGGGAGAGAAGGAAGGAAGGGCTCCTCGGTACCCATCTGGCCAACCAGCACTGACTAAGCCCCACATACTGAGCTGGAGGCCCCCCAGTTTTAGGCCAGCTACTCATCCAGGAGCAGTCTGCCTTCACCTGGGCGGGGTGAACCTGGGATTGGCAGTGCAGCTTTCTGAGGGACCCCTGGGTCCCCTTAGCAGCAGCACTGGCAGGCCCAAGGCCTTCCTGATGGCACTCTGTATGGGAATGGTGAAGCAAGGGATCTGGGGCTGTGTGCCTTGCATGCTTCCCATACAGTCCTTTCACTCAACAGTCTGGTCTTGGGAGTCAGTGAGCTCTAGGTTCAAATCCCAAGATGGCCATTTATGGCTGTGGCTTTGGGCAAGTTACTCAGCATCTACAATGGGGATGATGATGGCCCCTCCCTCAGGGGGCTTCGGTGAAGAGTCCGTGCACAACCTCAGCACCGTGCCTGGAACCTGGTGAATGATGTGTAGTGTTAAGCTGTTTCTTGGCTTTCTGTGGCCACGTGCCATTGGCCCTCCAAGTTCCTTGGTGCCTACAGAGCCCGGTGGAGAGCCCAGGGTGTGGGAAGGCATGGACTGATTTCCCTAGGACTGGACTTGAAGAATCCTGGAGGTCTGGCCACCTGTCAGCACCTATAGGCACTTAAAGTGTGAAATGTCCATGGAGGCGCCTGTGGATTCTCTTCAAGTTCCCCAGAGATGGGGGACTTTGCAACTTCAAGGCAAGCCCAGCTCAGGGTTTGCTGGTCTAACTGGGATCTTTCTTGCAACTGATCTTTATGTTTCGTCTAGTTGCTTTGGCTGCCCGTTCCCAGAGAGAAAGGCCGTGGCTGTTACGCACATCCGTCATTCAGTAATGAACTTGCTGCGCTTCGGCCCGAGCAGACCCCGTCCTTTAAATGTTCTGCATAGGATGCTATTTCCCGTGGGCACCTGGGGTTGAATAGGGAATAGTGAATAGCAGAGGCTATTCTCTCCCTGGGGGACACTGAACGCACATTCTCTCTGAGCCACGGGCAGCCTGGGGGACATGGTTTCAGGGAGGCTGACTGCCCCCTTCTGAAGGGCAGTTCCAGAATAGAGCTCCCTGAGCGTCAGCCTTCTGCTCATTACCTTTGGGATTTCTGCAGCAGCATCTGCCTATCATATGTACTTATTTTTTCCCTCAAATGGACTCATTCTTTTACTTAAGTAAATAGATTTTAAAAGGAAACTTTCTATCACCGGCACCAATGGAAAGCCAGTATCATTGCCATAAATAGAACAAAACCATACAAGTGCACAATAAGAAAACCAAATAAGGGTAATACATTCTAGTATAGCCTGGGGAAGGCTCTGAGCCTGAAACCTGCTGTCCCTTGTTAAAAAAAAAAAGGGAGGGGAATAACCTTCTATGTGATTCGATGGCATTTAATGCCATAAAACTAAAACTGTCCGTGTTATAGTCGCTGTCGGCCCCTCCCCCATCACTGCAGAAGCCAACTCACCACTGTGAAGAGCGCTAGCTGGTGGCAGGGGACAGGTCAGCTCTCCCAGAGGAAAAGAGAGCGGTGGTCCCCATCCTAAGAGGTCAGGGCAGGGTCAGAGGGCCTCTCTGAGCTTCTTCCGGCCCCCAATTCTCCCAGCCCCTGCTGCCTTCCTCAAATAAATACAGTGTCCAAGTAAATAGAGTAGCTCCAGCTGGGCTGGGGCCAACTAGCTATCCCAATAACCACGGGGTGATGGGGAGAGAGCTCACAGCAACTGAGCCCTCATTGGCCAGGCCTGCTGTCCATCTGCAGGAAGGACGTGGGCCCTCTGGTCAGTCCCAAGCCACCGCTACTGTGTCGGTTACTACGGGCTGCCTGCACCGAGGGCAGGGCCCAGGGACTGGAAGCTGAACCTTAGGAAGTCCTCACAGCCTAGACCCTTGAGGGAAGCTGGCCAGAGCTGGTATTCGGGGCTGCACACAGTCCTCCTCATGGAGGGCCTGGGCGAGTCTGGGAAGGAGGCATCCAGAGAAGCATCCATTGGCGGGGCGCCTGGCCAGCTGCCCAGGCCCTCTCAAGGGAGGCGTGCTGGCCAACAGCCTCCAGCCCCGGATGCGTGGATGCTTTCCCAAGGTGCTGGAAGCGCCGCTTCCTCCAATAGAGCCTGGCTTCCCCTTCCCAGACTCCCTGGTCTGATGTGAATGGACACTTCCTGCGGGGGCAGGTATCAATAAACACATCTGAGATGCCCTTTGTCCTTGCTGGCCACAGACCCCAGGAGCTGACCTGCTGGGTCCGCCCCCCGTGCCGGGGGTGCTTCCTGGACCTCAGCGCTGGCAGACTCAGTCCGGGTTGGTCCTTGACTCTGTTTCCCTCTGTGCTCTGCAGCTTGATAAAGACAGAACGGAGGCTTTCCCTGCACCCTCCCCGGACTATCCTGGGGGACGGGGCCTGGCAGGGAGCTGGAGACCAGTTCCATGTCTGTTTGGCGCTCCTTCTGAGGGTGAGGTCCTGGCCTTTTGCATCTAGCCCTGGGCCAGCAAGAGCAGCAGATCAGGGACTGTTGGACTGTTTACTTACAACCCCTAGCAGCAGCTGGACAGAGTTCAGCTGTTTGGGTGGGGCCTCCCAGGCCAGACTCATCAAGCTGGGGCCCCACCTCCAAAGGCTGGGGTGTTGCCTTGGCAACCGTGGGCTAAACTCATGCCCCGTCAGGGAAAACACACAGGCCTCTCCACACCCACACACACACCCATCCCGTGCACACCCACAGGGTTTCACGAGGTGCCTGCTGGGTGGAACGAGGTGAATCATGACAACTAACATCCCAAGACGGAGCCAGACAAGAGCCCCTCTCCCCAGTACTGGAACAGAAGCTTCTACAAGGGGCTGAGCCCACCTTTGGCTGAGGGTCCCCCAGCTGGAAAGCGGCAGGAGGAGGACTAAATTCTGAGCGGCCATCGCTTAGGGAACTCTGCACCCTCACGGCCTCTCTGCCCTGGGCCTGGCTCACGGGTAGGACCTCGGTAAATATTTGTGGAATGAAGGAATGGTGTTTTCGGTTTAGGTCTGAGGCTGAGCAAGGATGACTGGCTGGAAGTTGCAGTCAGCTTGGGGTCAGTTCACTCTCCCCGGTGCTGGAGGCTGAGATGTCAGCCCCACCCGCTTCAGGAGTTAGGGGGTGCTCTTCCTTCCTGCTGTGCTGGTGTGTCCAAGGTGTGAGTTTCAGCTCAGCCACATAGGGTTGGGTGGTCTTGGCTAAGTCGCTTGACTTCTGGGTCTGTTAACTCATCTTTAAAATGGGGATGATAATACCTACATCAGGGGATATTAAGTGAGAGGAGTACAAATTGGTAAGCAAGTCCTGACACATAAGAGGTGGCCCATTTCTTGCCCCCTTCCCTGCCCTAAGGAAATACAGCCCCTTCCTACTGCCCCAAGCCCTCAGAGCTGGAAGGGCCTAGGAACATGGGGAGTTTCTTGAGATGAAGAGAAGGAGGCAGAGAGAAGAAGGATGGGACCTGTTCAAGGGCACACAGCAAGGACGTGGCTAAGTGGGGACTGGGGCCCAGGGATCCCTCAGACCAAGGTTTTAATCCTGAGACCTGGAATTTTCCAGGTTCCTAGCAATATTCCTCCAGGGGCTTCTGCCTCCTTACCCGGTGACAGGTGGGGCTGGAGTGGGGCTGGGCCCCAAGAGCAGCACAATGACTGGATGGTTCCCGCCTGGGCACAGGCTCAGGCCCAGGCCCAGGATCATTTTCCTGTCCCACATGTTCTCGGCCACCCTGGAGCCGAGGGCTTTCCTCCCCACCCTCTCCCCAGTCTCTGACAATGACCCAGGTGTCCAAAAGGATCTGCTCCTGACAATAAGCAACATCCTCCTGCCAAATAATTATAAACCCAGCTGTGCTATATATATATCCCCGATAACACGTGTGCATGTGCAGTTGTGGGTGGCATGGGGGTGGGGCGTGCATTATTTTCCCCAACTCTGTGCCTTTGAGCATCAGGCTGTCCTGGGTTTTGACCTGGCTTGAGTCTTAGACACAACAAAGGGGATGTTCCCACCCCCCCAACCCTGAACCCCCCACCAGGACAAGACCCTGGGAACTCTTGGTCCACTGCTATCTGGCCCTTTTGCTGAAATCGAACAGTGTCCCCCATCCCCCAAACCTGAATCCTACTGCAAGCTTCTCCTTTTTCTAAAAAGGGAAGAGGTCCTCTAGGGTGTGTAGGGTGTTGGGGATTGAGCAATGCTCCCCTCCCCTTGCCCCCCACCCCCATTCTCAGCCCCAATTCTGTGTCCCACTGTGGGTTTTCAGCCTCTAGGGCTGAATATCTCTCCCCAGTGCTGTCCAGGTAACTCTGTGCTCCCTGACACATAGTGCCATGTAATAGCTGCCCCTAGCTGCGGCCCGCAGGGGAAAGGGGCAGCGCAAGGCAGACAGCTCCTCGGTCTGCTCTCTGGGCGGGTTTTCGGTCTTCCTGGGAGTGTCTGCGAGGGTCCTTTCCCTGGCTAGCCCCCCGCCCCCCGTTTACTGGCACACATAGTTCTGTGGCCATGGCTGTCACACAGGCCCGTGAGGGGGAGTCGAAGTCACTACTGTGATCTTCAGTGAATTATTTAGCGTCTCTTTGCCTCACGTTTTGTCCTCAGTGAAACAGGAATAAAAACAACACCGACCTTATAAGGTTGCTAGACATGCCCCTAAAGGAGTTAGCATAGCACAGGATACCTGCTCTTCCTTCTTCTAGTTCTAACTAGATCTGGCTTTACCTGAAACCCCCCATGCTCCAGGTTCTGAGTTCATACCCTCCCTCTGTGGCACTTTAGGGAAATCACTTTCCCCTTCCGGGCCTCTACATTTCTGCCTGAAAAGGAGACCAGCATCTTGCCAGGCAGTTGTGAAATCTCTGCTCACCTTGGCAAAGATTTTCCATAGATCTGGGGCTCCCAGACATGGCTCCCTCTCACATGTGGGTGGAGTGAATGGAAGGATCTGGTGTGTGTGTGTGTGTGTGTGTGTGTGTGTGTCTTCCTTACTTTCTAGGGGCCTAACACACTACCATGCAGACATATTCTTCGGGGCCATGACTTTGCTAATTCCCCACACACTGCTTTAAATATGCAGGCACTCCAAAATTGGATCCCAAGCTGTTGTCAGTCATTCACACCTTAGTGGGAAAGAGTTTGAAGCTGGCTTCTCCATTCTACTCTGCAGAACTATTTTCACTCCTAGGAAATGTTCCCGGACTTGCCCAAACGAACGAGAGAGCTGTGTGGCTTCCACGTAGCAAGCACCACCTACTAGCAAAGCACTTTCAGAGCCCTTCATGTGAAGTATTTGTGGTCCTTGCCTCAACTCTGGCAGGTAGATGTTTTCATTTCTGTTTGACAGTGAGGAGTCTGAGGCTCAGAGTCTAAATGACTCCCAGCTATTGGACTCCAGTGCGGGCTGGTCCGGTTCCAAAGCTACACCAGGCTGCCTTACTTTGGACCAGGCAAAGTTTTCAGCTCTGCTGGTGGGTCCCAGGCTCTGAAGGCAGGGAAGGGGGTGCCCGCAGGAGGAAGTGGCGTTATCTTGATTCAGGCAGTGGCAGTCCGAGAGACATGCTGGTTTGGATTCTGTACACATCTCCTTCCCTGACTTACGACAGCCTCTGAAATGCCACTTAAAATTCAAATACCGCTAATATATAATAACCGTAGTTATCTTCCCTGTGTCTGTAGAGGGCATTAGAACTCGCATCTAGTGTTCTCAGCTTTCCCTCGCTCTGTCCTCTCGCAACCATGCATTGCAGTGATTGTGGGGATCAACATGGTTAGGTGCTGGGGGGTTGGGGTAGGGTAAAGAGGGCCAGGGGATGGCTTCGTTTGCTTATTGAAAACCAAATGAACTAGGAAATATTTCTAAGAAGACTGGGTGGCAGCAGGTACATGGATGAGGCGACCTCTCATGATTTCCCTGGTCCTGGCCCCGAGACACCTTGGGTTTTCCTGCTTCCTCACCACCTGGCCCAGAGCACCCCGTCTACTTGCTGAAGTTCTATCTGTCCATCAACCCCAAAGACACTCGCTCCTTCGAGAAGTCTCCTGACCATCCCCAGGACGGCTATGTCTTCCCTCCTCCAAGTGCCCTGTAGACTGGAACCAGTCCACCCTTTAGCCTGTGGTCTTACTTTGTCAGGAAGGCATGCTTCGTCTACACAGCTAGGCCATAAGCTCCCAAGGGGAGGCCATGTGCTCAGCATCCAGGTGAGACGTAGCACCTGGTGCAGGCCTTGCACACAGAGGTGCTCCATTAGTGCTCACCGATGAGGAGGTGGGACGGCATGGCTAGCCCTACGAGTGGGAAGGGCCCAAGGTGCTAATGGCCCCAGAAGGCTGGCCAAGGGAAAAGGGCTTCTCTTCCCGAATTGCCTTTGTGCTCCTCATCCTGCTTCCCCCCCCGGACGGCATGGGGTGTGGGGCTGGAGGTGCCAGGGGCCAGTTGTGGGCAGAGCCACAGGGTCTGCAGCAGCGGGGAGACAGACACACCGGCTGGGCCCCGTCCGCCACCTGCACAGAGTCTCTCCTACGCCTTGTCTAGTGTCCCTGGGGTCAGGGGAGTCCCTCACTTGGAGAAGCTCCTCCTCCCACGCAGCCCGGGATGGAGTCAGATTCAGGAGCTAATGAAGAAGCTGAGGCCCGGGAGGTCAGCTGACTCGCCCGGGGCCTGTGACTGGGGAACCCACATCTTCAGAGTGCCAGGCCAGGGTTCTTCCTCCCTCTGGGGGAACTGGGAGTGGTTCTGGCTCAGGCAGGTGACCGTCTCTTGTCTCTCTAAACAGGTCTGGTGGCAGCCTTCAAGGTCGCCACGCCATATTCCCTGTACGTGTGTTCTGAGGGCCAGAATGTCACCCTCACCTGCAGGATCATGGGCCCCACGGCCAAAGGGCACGACGTGACCTACTACAAGACATGGTACCGCAGCTCGCGGGGCGAAGTGCAGGTCTGCTCGGAGCGCCGGCCCATCCGCAACCTCACGTTCCAGGACCTTCACCTGCACCACAGCGGCCACCAGGCCAACACCAGCCAGGACCTGGCCCAGCGCTACGGGCTGGAATCAGTCTCCGACCACCACGGCAACTTCTCCATCACCATGCGCAACCTGACCCCCATGGACAGCGGCCTCTACTGCTGTCTGGTGGTGGAGATCAGGCACCACCACTCGGAGCAGAGGGTCCACGGTGCCATGGAGCTGCAGGTGCAGACAGGTGAGGGCCTCCCGTATGGGACAGCGCGGGGGTGCCGTCGCTGTGGGGATGGTGCATGCGCCCGTCTGGAAGGGGAGGCAGAGAGAACCGTGTGACTCCAGGGCTGTGGTGCTGAGTACTGGATGGTGTGACCGTGGTGTGATTCTGTGCTGGGAGGGTGTGTGGTCCCAGGTGGGGGACACGGACACGCCAGGGACATGTGTGGTGAGATGGGGTGGCCACGGGGTGTGGGGCTGCGTATAAATCTCTCTGGTCAGTGGGGTGTGATGGTGAGGGGGGTGTATGTGGTTCTGTCTAGTAAGAGAGAGTGTACAAACCTGAGAGGTACTGCTCATGACACTATGGTGGCCGTGGTATGTGACCTGGGGTGTGAGCTGGTGAACGCTTGTTGGGAAATATGTATGTATCTGTGTGTGTGTGTCCGGGTGAGAGTGTGAGGGGCAGTAGGCTGGGTAGATGAGTGGGTGCCAGCAGGTATCCACACGCCTGCGGGGGAGGTGTGAGAGTGCGCCGGGCACACCCAGCCTCGCAGTGAGAAGCTGCGTCTGTGTGTACCCGTGTGCTAGCTGCGACAAGCCTCCCCGGCCTCAGGCCCACCTAACGCCCCTTCCTTTTGCTCCCACAGACAAAGCAGCGTCAACCCGGTGCATCGCGTACCCACCTTCACCCAGGGAGAGTGAAAGTAAGGGACCGCCCTTTTGGCCCTTCTGGGTTCTCTGTTCTCCTCCGCCCTCTTCTTGGATCCAGGCCCCACTCTGAACTCTGACCTCATCACCCCAAGCCCACCGAACCCCCATTCTTCCTCCTCTGCTATTGCCTCTCCCTTTCACTTACCCCTTCCCCGCAACCATTGGGCTGCAGTCCTTGTTCTGTGCATGGGGGAGAGAGGACGGAGAGACTCAGGAAGGGGAAGAGAACTACCTTTCCTAGAGCTCTTTCTGCATGCCAGGCACTGTGCTAAGTCCTCGCAAGTACTGGTATCTCCGTGGATTCTGACAAGAACCCTCTGAAGTAGGCAGCACATCTTCACTTTCTACACATGGACACAGAAGCCCAGAGAGGTGACATAACTTGCCCAAATTCACACAGCTGGGTTGTGCTCACTTCACCTTCTTCCCAGCTTGAGGAATGCATAGGGCGGTGGGCGGGTGGCAGTCAGCCCCCTGGTGTTTGCCCTGGGAGGCATCCTGCAGAGGAAGAGTGGGGCACTGCTCTGAGGGACGTCTGGGCACTCAGAGGCCAGGGCAGAATGCCTGGCAGCTTGGAGGCAGCAGGCAAAGGGGAGACGTCTCAGGGGTGCCCCATTCTTTGGAGAGGAGAGGGTCTTGGCTTCCAGAGCCTTCTATCCATCAGTATTTCCTGGGCATCTAGTATGGACCAGCCCCTGCCCAGGCCCTGGAGATACAAGAGTGCAGACCTCCCCCCCTGCCCTCCAGGAGGACGCGCACAAAGACCGAAGGCAGGGACAGGACAGTTAAACCTACAGCCCCAGCCCCAGCCCAGCTCAAAGGTCGTGGTAACTTTCTACTCCAACTACTCTTTTGTGAACCAACAAACAGCTTAGCCAGGAATAAAATCAGAACACACATTTCGGACTGAGCCAGACCCGCATGGAACTAAGGAACTCTTTGGTTCAAGCCCCTGTCCCTGCACACTGCAAACCTGACATGTCGCCTCGGCACCAGGCCACTGCTGTCCTCACTTCCTCCAGCGGCAGCTCCCTGGTGAGGGTGGACGGCCGTGTGCACAGGCATCCATGATGGGGGGAGCCTCACCTGGCAGGGCCCACGAGTGTTCACTTCCCCATTGCTCCTTCCACTCTGAGCAACCCTCCAGTCCCCCTTCTTCCTCCAGGAGCTCCCAGAGCTCCCTTAGAGGCCATCACCTCTGCCACTGTGCACACTTCTCTGGTGGGGAAACCAAGGTGCAGACAGGTGCAGGGACTGCTCCCCATCTCTCAGCCAGAGCGCCTGATTCTCAGTCACAAACCCTGCCCGGGAGCTGGGCTGCCCTCCCCTCTCTCAACACCAGTTTTCTGAAAATCAGTTGTATGAATTAAAGTCCTGGGGACAGCGATGAGAGATGCCAGTGGGGACAATGAAGAAACCAGCTGCAAAATAGAGAGGGAACAAAGATTTGGTTCATTTCTCCTGATTAAGACCCAGCTTAGAGAAGTAGCTGCTGGAATTAAGGAAACAGAAGTCGCCTGGGGAAGCCTGGGAATCTGGCTGGTCAGAATCCGAGGCTGAGGCAGAACTTTGAACTTGATTGTCAAGAGTGGGTCAGGCTTCCTTCGCTGGGCACCTCTACTCTCAGGTTTTCACATTAGCCTCCCTCTCTAGGGATGCGCAGCCTCACTCTGGTCCCTGCTTCCCTGAGCTACTGTCCACAGTGACCTGGTTCCCCAAGGGCCAAAGGGATGTGTTTACTTCTATCCTAGCTGTTGAGGGCAGGATGATGACTTTGGTGACCTCTGAAGTCCCAACCCCTTTCCAGACTCTTCGTTCCGGAGGTCTGGAGACTACAGCTGTGGTGGAGTCTTGTCACTAAGGAGGGCATGGCGTCTGATGAAAAGAAACCCAGCTATCCTTTTGGGTGGGGTGTGGGGGTTGGGGCCAACACTTCCATTCTCTAGGGATCATGGGTCCAGTGAGAAATGGGAGCACGTGTGTCCCTTCCCCACTAACAGGGAGGCAATCCGTGTTATCCAAGAGGCTGAATCAGGGATCAAAAACTCCAATGCCCCCGAAGCCAGGGACCTGGGGAGGAAGACAGTGGGGAGGGGTGGAGACTGTGGTGAGCAGCCAGCTGCCGGCCTGTAAGGGCAGCTCCAACAGCTGTGTGCTTGGAGGGGGGCCCGGGGCTGCCAGAGCCACTCCATTTTCCAGCAAAGTCAGAAGCCCAGATTTTACAGAAACTCTCAATTTTAAAATGTTGGCCAAAAAAGAAAAAAAGAAAAAAAAAGAAAGAGATGACGTACCATGTGGGCCATGACAGGATGGCAAGGAGATGGCAACAGACAGTGGACACACATCTGTTTTCTAATGGTTTAGAAACATTTGCCTGGTGACCCCTGTGCTTAGTGGGCCTCAGGGCGGGCCGCTAGGGACTGCCCTCAGTGCTGCTGACCTTTGGAAAGACTGCAATCCCTGCTCTCTCTAAGACAGGTGCCCCACAGCCAGCCTTGGTACCTGATTGGCTAGTGATGCTTCCAGCCAAGCAGCTGGGAGCTTTTCTGTTCTACCTGCAGCCCTGTCTTCTAAAGATCTCTTTGGGAAGGAACAGGGTGGCCGGCCTAGGAAATCACCTGAAAGCCCAAGTCAGTCTGAGGTTGGGGGAGGCGGGAGGAAGGGAGAGAGGCTGAGAAAGTTGGTCCCCAAGAGCCCCCAATTGCTGAGGGGCTGTGGTTTTGTCACGGAGCCCAGGGAAGGGGGCTGGGCAGCCTACCTCCTGCAAAGCAACCTCCCTATCCCCCTACACAGCAGGATGTTTGGTTTGCTTTCATCCAACCCCTCCCGGGGGAACCAGGCAGCCTGACCGAACTCCCTCCTCCCCTCTCGTACCTACCTACCTACCCACCCACCCACTGGGTACTGGCAGGCTCTAGACAAGGGTGCACTGCTGAGCAGGTTAGCGTTGGGGGGAGCTCCCATCCCAGCCTGCTGTGTAAGGGCCTGGCACAGTTCTCAGAGCTGGCCTGGCAGCTGTCTCTGCCAGCACCTGATCGCCTTCCCAGTGAGCCTGGCTCTGGATGGCTACCAAGCAGGACCCCCTACCCCCACCTCCCCAGGTACTGGCCACACCTGCGGGAGGCGGCAGGGACCTGTGGCAAGGCTGGGCTTTGCAGAAGAGCCCGTAGCTTCTAGGGCAGGTGGGCCCACAAAACTGTCCCCAAACTCCTGCCTCCCTGTCCCAGCCTCAACTCTCAGCCCAGGTTGTAAGGAAACCAAGTCCTGATCCCCTGGAGGGGCTGCAGAGGGGGATCTCTGCCTGGGGACAGGAGTCAGGCCGGGAGGGGGACAGGGAGACACAGCGAGTGAGCACCTGACCTCACTGAATGTGGCTTAGTAGCAGTCTGGAGCCCTGGTTTGACGACTAGAATAGAGCATTTTGCAACCCCCTTCTCAATGCCCACAAGAAGATCCTATGACGGGGAGTTAGAAATCCTCAAACGTCTGAATTATAGAATGTGTCTACTTTCACTATTCCACGTCAAAATGCAGCCTTGCTGAGATCTGCAGGGAACCTGCTTTAATGTGGACTCGAACTTGCTTTGTGATTAGCATAGCAACTGTTCTGTACCAGTGGGTAGGTCTAAAGTGCCAGTAAACAGTTTGTTCTCTTCTGTGGTATGAACAAAGCCCCGGAAAGCTTATTTACACCATCAGGTTGTTTAGCAATACAATGAGATAAACACAGCCTTTATTCCCAAATGAAGAGTGTGAAGGCAACACTGAGACCACAGCCCCCCCACCTTCCCCAAGCTCCCCAGGGCCACATTGACGCCGCCGTGACAAGGCATCCCAGCCTGTATTTCGTATTTGGGGAAGGGCTGAAATCGGGAAGGAAACGCGTTTACGCTGGTTGTGGTTCCATCCCAGCTAAACTCCTGGTGTCAGCAGATGGGCTGAAATAAGTCAGGCCTCTCATGTTGTTGGTGGGATGGTAAAGCGGTACAACCTTTACCAATTAAACAGCCTAGAAGAAAACGCACATACTCTTTGGCTCAGCACTTTCACCGCTGGGATTTTACATACAGAGGTACTTGCCCAAGCGAGTGAAGATGCACACACAAGGAGTTCACGGCTACGTTATTAGTTATGCAGAAAAACGGAAGCGATCTGCATGTCCACCAATGGGGGACTGTTTCAATAAATTCTGGGGTGAGCCCTGCGATAAAGCCCTAGGCAGAACAGGGTAGAGCTCTGTGCCAACCAGAGCTGTCCAAGCCACGCTAACTGGGAAAAGCGATCCTCATGAAAAGCACCTGTATGCTGTGTACGCAGGGGACAAATCTGGGCCGCGCGCGAGAGAAGTGTGGACAGTGATTGTCTCTTTGCAGGGTGCCCTGGGGAGGAGGAGCAGCAGGGGGAGGAAACTCTGGAATATATTTTAACTTATCTATCTATCTATCTATCTATCTATCTATCTATCTATCTATCTATATTGTAATTTAGAAAGTTTACAATTTTAAAACGTTAAGATAAGGATTCACATGTTTCTAGTTCTCCCCCACGTGTCCCCCCGCCGCCTGCCCCGTGACTTGTATGTGTGAGATCCCTTCCAGAAGCTGTGTCCAGAGCTAAGGGGGTCTCTCAGGAGGAGTGGGGCTTTTGTTCATTTTGATGTTTTTTTTTCTTCTTATTGTGGTACAACGTATATAGCATAAAATTTGCCATTCCAACCACTTTTAAATGTGGCATTAATTCTGCTCACCGTGTGGTGCAACCATCACCGCTATGTATTTCCAAACGTTCTTCACCACCTGGGTTCCTTTTGACCTTGAACTTCATGGCACGGGGTCTGTGAAGGACCTGCTTTCCCTCCTTTTCTGGGAACAACCCGTGGCCTGGGGCAGTTGAGCTGTCCCCAGGGGGCTGGGAGGAAGACCCTTCTCTCTCTTCCCTGGAGCCCCTGGCCTCATTTCTGTGTGCTCCGGGCCCACTTGGGGAAGAGGCATGGGACGCTCTTTGAAAGGGGATCCCTAGGCCTTCTGTCCCTCTGCAGGTCACTGAGGGTCTGGCTGTGGGGCCTGGGTAAAGCTGGGCCCCCCTGCCTGCCCAGACCTTTCCTCTCTGGGCTTCAGTATCCCCTCAGGAGAAGCAGAGGGAATGCAGTCTCGCCATGGCTGTCTCTCTGCCCTTACTAGGCATCACAGCGGCTGCTCTGGCTACAGGCGCCTGCATCGTGGGCATCCTCTGCCTTCCCCTCATCCTGCTCCTGGTCTACAAGCAAAGGCAGGTGGCCTCCAACCGCCGTGAGTATCCCCGCCTGCCTGGGGTGGGTGAGGGTGCGAGCGATCTGCCCCAGGCCCCAGCTCAGCGCCTGGGATTAGCAAAGGCAAGAGGCAGGCACATTTCCTCTCTGTTCCAGAGATGGGAGCTGCTATAGTCCCTGCAAGGAGCTAGGTTCAATGGTGGAGAGAGGAGGGGACCCAGGTGTGCCACCTGGGGGGCCTGAGTGCCCACCAGCCCCAAGGGGTCCTGGCTCGGCCCTCAGTAATATCTGTTGAATGAATGAATAATCACATGGAGTAGTTCAAATTGGTTTATAAAATGCTGCCCCTTGGAGATCCTTTGAGGACCTGCTTTAATGCAGGGGTAGGCTTGCCTTGTAACCAGCATTGTAATTGTCAGGACAAAAATGACCTTTGGATTATCAGAACTGGAAGGGATCCTGGAGATAACTTAGTTCAGTTCTTTCAGCATATGGCTGAGAAACCTGAGCTTACTAGCGGGGTTAAATCATGAACTGAATGGTATATAAGTTAGTAAGTGGCAGAGCTGGGCCTCAAGCCCAGAGCTTTCCACTCATGCTTTTCCCAGGGAGTGTAATCCCACCACATCATCAGAATGCTCATCGGGATGAGCGTGCTGGCCACCAACCCCTACCTGGGAAGGTTGCTGTGCTGGGCCCCATGCCAAGTTTTTTTTTTTT